TTTAATAACACCCGCCAAGCAAAATGATTTAAGTCTAGATTCATTTTTATTTCTTTACTGCAGAAAAAATATGCAAGCAGAATCATGACATTCCTGGGGAGACACATCCTGGTTTGAATTGTCATGCTGGGCGAGTGCACGGTCGGCCCTGAGATTGCTGTCTGAAGACATGACAAGGCCGCGCAGAGATGCGGAGAGGACTAGGCTGAGTGGGGGATGGGGGTTGGCGCGTGTAGGAGACCTGCCTGCATCCCAGGGTAGGCTTTGCAGACCCCATACCCCCACCCTGGCCACCTGTTCCCGCATATTTAAAATGAAAGACTGGACCACATCACCTTCTTTTTAATTGAGGTGGAATTCGCACAACGTAAAATTAACCACTTTAAGGTGCACATTTTAGTGGCATTTAGTACATCCACAATGTTGTGCAACTGCCCCTCTGTCTAGTTCCAAAATATTCTCATCCTCCCCATTAAGCTGGACCAACATAGGAGCTAGACTCGTTCAACTCTATAAAAAAAACCCTCCAGACTGCAAAGACATTGAGATTACCCCATAAAAGTAGAACGTCTAAATATTTGTCCCTGACAAACACGATCGGCCTGGTGGGTGATCCTGCAGCTCCCTTGCAGGGCAAACAGTGTTTTCCTGCTGCCGGAAACTTCCATGGTGTGACCAGTTGGGTGCCCATCAAGTAGCAGCCCTGGCAACGGAGACCCAGGGTAGAGTTGCGCAGATGCTCTTGGCTCCAGGACACGAGATTTGCACTGTTTCTCGTCACCTTCTGGAAAAAACTGTCCCTTTTTTCTTTCCCTGGTAAGAGCCATGCTTTCCTAAAAATTCAGATTCCTGAACCGAAGGGCAATTTTGTAGACACCCCTGGGTGGAACGAGCCCATCCCCGTCCCTCCCCCAGTGGCTGGGATGGCGTGGGGGGGCGGGGTCTTGCAGTTGGGAGCCTTAGCCTGGGAAAATGGTGTTTGCGGTCTCCGGCTCTCAGCTGTGCAAGGAAAGACTTGGGCCTGATGGCGGATGTACAGCAGGTGCAGCCAGGGATGCTGTGTCTGAGGAAGGCTCCGATCCCTTCTCCCTCAGCTTTCCCCTCCTCCGTGAGGAGGCTGAGGACAGTTGGGAAACCACTGGCTTCACTGTTCATGACCTCCAAGCACTGATGTCGCGAGTCTTTGGAATTTCTGTTCTTTTCTTGGCCTCCAGGTATCCAAGAAACGTCAATGCCTGTCTCGATCAGACTGTCCCCAGAATTCTGCACTGGGAGACCCCGCCGAGTTCATGGCTTTGTTTTCCGTTCCCCACCCCCACACCTCACCTGGTCGCCCCTGTAGAATCTTGGCAGGCCCTGCATGCTTCCATGCTGCCTTCTCGACTGTCCATTGGGCATGGGCACACTGATGGCTCTTCAAAGCCTCGTCCACCCCTCCTCAGAGCCCTTACGACAGCCCGCCGGGAGAAACGACTGGGCTGCAGCCCTGCACAGTGAAAACGAGTCCCGAGAGGCTGCCTTGCCAGCAGCCGCTGCTTCCCTAACATGGGCTCAGGAGACCGAGTGTGGCGGGCAGCGCGCCCTGGCTTGGGGGACTCTGGGGACCTGGGTCTGAAACTCTTCTCATGTCCTTGGTCTGCCATGACCACCTGGGCCACTCCTGCAGAGGCCACGTGAGTGCACACAAGGAAGCAGCTCACTAGGTGTTTTTCATTTGCTATCTGATGTCACTGTCCCTAGGGCACAGAGACACCCGTGGGAGCCAGCGTGGACCCTCACGGGCCCCAACCCGACCTCCCTTTGCTTGTGCCCAGGCCCTTGTCAGCGGTGGAGGGTGGCAGTGGTCACCAGACAGAGAGGGACAGGAGGGACAGGCAAGCGGGTGGCCGAGAATCTGTCCCAAGGGAGTGGAAAGGCTGCGGGAGGCACAACCCTGCAGGAACCAAGTCACCTGCTCCGCTCTCCCATCGCCTGCACTCGTGTGACACAGACTCAAAACCGGACCATTATGAATTTCAAGACAGTGACCCTAGAGCACAAAACTCTGAGAGGGGCTGCCTTCCAAGAGTGGGGCATACCCATGAGCCCATGAAGCTGGCCCTGGGGGTGAGTATGCAGTAGGCGCTCAACATGTGCTGGATGACTTGATGCTAGGGATATAGAGGGGAAAAGAGCCTCAAGGGCTCACGGTCTGGGGACTTACCTAGAGACATGGCAATAGCAGCTGCTCAGTCAGTGTTTGTTGAAGGAATGAATGTGATTCCTTTCTCGAGCCTCAGTTTCCTGATCTATGAAATGGGAACAATAATAAAGGCACTTACATCAGAGAAAATAGTGTAATGCATTTCATGTCTGGCATGCAGAGAAAACCCAGTATTATTAATACTGTTATCCTCAGTGCTGGAGACAGAGCAGGCATTTAATAGATGTTTGGGCTGAGGATCTCTAGAGAAAATGAGATTTCAGCAAATTGAACTCAAAACTTCTGTTTACCTTTTAAAACCTGTTTTGTTCTCTCATATCAAGACTGTTCAGGTGGTGGGCACCTGACCTAAGCATTATAAAAGCTATCCATGTAACAAAAACATCTGTACCCCCTTAATATTTTGAAATAACAAAAGAAGAGGTAGCTGGTGTGGTCACAGAAGGCGTGGCAAGAGCTGAATAGCTGCTGAGCAACAAGAGACGTGCGGCAGCCTCCGGAAAGAGTGGGGAGGAAGTCACTTTAGGTTCCAGACTATCTTTCTCTTTCTTTCCCTGACGCAGTTTTGTGTCTGGGCTCAACTTTCTACATGCTGTTAAGCGGCAGAGCAGCCTTGGACGCCTTGGAGACGTTGCTCTTGTCCCCTTGGCCGCCGGGAGTCTTCACCACCAGGGAAAGACAGGGCCCCGGGCTGCCACCCGCTGAGGGATGTGGGGAACTTTGCCCGGACTTTCCTTTGTGTCCTCAAAACCCTCTCTCTGCATCAGCTTTTTTTCTTCCAGAGAATTCTGTGCTTCGAGGTAAGCCTGAAGCCCAAAGTTTACTTTTTAACATTCCGACAAGGGACAGCTGCAGGGGAGTGATGCCGTCCCTCCACTCCGCAGGCCGTGTAATCGAACACCCAGAGGAAGGCTGGCCGTGACTCGCTCCTCCCACATTTTAACTGAACTAGTTCTTTCTCTCCCTGAAGACTCAGAGCATAAACACGCTGAATTTACGGGTAGCGTTTAGAACTCCAAGTAAGTTCTGGTTTCTCATTTTTGTTTTCAATCTATGTGCTCTTCCAGGGAATCAAACCTATTACAGTTTTATCAGCAAAATGGGACTCTCTACCCATTTGGCGAGATGAACTACACCGGTATAAATGTGCGCACCGCGTATTTATGGGGGTGCGCTCGAGTGGCTAATTTCACTGATGTCGGATGCTAAGGACGTGCGCCTCGGCAACTGAAAATTACATCATCGTTGGGCTTAGACACAACTCGAACTTATGCGTGGCTGACAGCACCACTGATCGTGAATTCCAGTGACCTCAACTGGAAATAACTTTGAACAAAAAGCACCTCCTCGTATGTTTGCAGTGAAAGATCCAATTGGTTGAATACAAAACTGAATAAATAAGACACGGCAACAGGCTGATCATTCGGGCGGCGGTTGGAGATGTGTGTATGCCCAACGGTGCAGTGTGAACCCAGCCCCAGAGGACGGTCCCCTAAGTGCTCTCGGTTGGGGGCTGCCATTTACAATGCCTTGCATGTGCCGTGACAGTCTCAGCGGAGCATCCCACACCCCTTGCTCCCACACCTCGTGGGGCAGGGGGCCGAGCCCCCACCGGACCTTGTCTGAGCTGGAGGAGCTCCCACGGAACTGCGTGGCTGGCCGTGGGGAGGTGGGGCCTGGCCCTGTTCTCCTGACTCCTCACCCAGTGTTCTCTAACTCCAGCCAGCGGCTTTGATAGTCCATTAAGCTGATGGCTTGCAAAGGAAATTCTTTACAACTGTTATAAAGGTTTCATTACTTAAGTGTAATCAAGCAAAGCCACCAAGCCCCCTCCACTCCCCAAACTCTCAGACTTGCCAGGGAAGCGAAAAGTGTCCAGCTGACCCCGGGAGTAAATGCACCCAGCCCAGAAATACTTGGAGAATATACGGAAGGTTCTGGAAAAGGTAATGGTACCTCACAGTGAGTGACATGCTGCTCCAGAGCCTACCTTGCTTGTGTTCAAATCCCCACTCTGTTGCCCACCAACCGGCTGGGAGTAGCTACTCAATCTGTCTGGCTCAGTTTCCTTATCTGTACATAGGGTTGTTCATAGTCACCATCTCAGAGGTGGTAATGAGTTAGCTGATACAAAGCACTTAGAAGAGTGCTCAGCATGTACGCATGCAGTGCCTACTGTGTGCTGTAGATATAAAAATGAACCAAATAGGCAGAACCCCCTGCCCTCTTGGAGTTTGTATTTGGGGTGGGGGGCACACAGCAGACACTCTGCACAGCCGTTAGCCCCCAGTTGTGTCGGATGTTGCAGATCTTTGGCAATAAGCCACACACTGGCCGAGTGAGGGTGCGTCCTTCCCATGAACTTTGACTGTGGGGCAATACCTTGAAGCTGTAGTGTTTTGCCAACCAGCAATCGTTGGCACACAAAATGTGCTGCCAACAACCTTTGAAGTCCAGGAGGTGCTCTGGCCAGCCTTGTCCTCAATCGCACCCGCCCGTCAAGAAAAAGGCATTATGTTTTGCATCAGCAGTAAACTGGGTCAAAGTTTGTCAATCAGAAGTTGTGTAAGAACTCACTATGGCTGGTGCAGGGCCCGAGGTCTTCCAGCATTCATTAACAACTATCCGTTCGATGACTATCTCCTGCAGTTTATTGTGGGGGCTGGTCCAGAGCATAACCGACCCTGGCGGCGATCCACAGGCCTGCCCCTGACGTCAGGGGCGAGCCTCCTGGGTGCGGCCAAGGGGCAGGGCTGTTCTGGCCACGGTATTTAGAGCCAGGAGGCTCTGCCGCCCAGCACGGCCTTCCCACTGGGAGCTCGCACTCACCAGCGGGAAGAACCCGGAAAGGAACCCTTGGATCTCTGACAGAGATCTTCCAAAGGGAATAGAGGTAGGTAGAGCATTTATATTTACAATTCTAAAAATTACAGAGATGACATAAACTCATTTTCTTTTTTCCTTAGAGCAGTAACTATCTGGTGATGTGCAACCCCAGCAAGAGTCCATCGAGCGTGTGTGATGGTGCCCGTGGTTGTTTTTGCTCAGGGCGCCTGCGTTTTCTGTTGCAGGGAACCTTGGCGTGCGTGCCCCTTAGCGCTGCTCTGTGGAAATGCCTCCTCAGCTGCAAAACGGCCTGAACTTCTCAGCCAAAGTTGTCCAGGGCGACCTCGACAGCCTGCCCCGGGCAGTGAGGGAGTTCGTGGAGAGCAGTGCCAAGGTGTGTCAGCCTGAGTACCTCCACATCTGCGATGGCTCCGAGGAGGAGAACAGGCGTCTCCTGGAGCACATGGAGGAGCAGGGTGTCATCAGGAGGCTGAGGAAGCACGACAACTGGTACGCTAGGGGCTGCCCCACCCACCTCCTCCCCGGCTCGCCTTTCCCCCATCTCCTTGCTGTTGGCAGAGGGAGGGGAATGAAGGCTTCTCGGTGGGGGGCGGCGGGAGCAGTCTTGAAAAACTTACTAGGATGGTCAGAACCACACAGACTTGAATTTCCTGCCATCGGTAGAGCAGTGCAGGCCTGCAGTGAGAGATGGCACACACAGAAAGACTAGCTCTTAGTCTAGCAAATGTCTCCGCGGCCACGTCCTAGTGGGTTTGGTTGTTCACATTAATGGGGCGTCGTCAATGTGCCCGGCGTCCTGCTGGGGAAGAGTGTGATTGTGAGTAAGACTGGTCCATTCCTGACGATGCTTGGCTGACGGGGATCCTGTGATTTTGGCAGCTGGTTGGCACTCACTGACCCCAGGGATGTGGCCAGGATCGAAAGCAAGACGGTTATCATTACCCAAGAGCAAAGAGACACGGTGCCTATCCCCAAAAGCGGCGTCAGCCAGCTGGGCCGCTGGATGTCGGAGGAGGACTTCGAGAAAGCCTTCAACGCCCGATTCCCGGAGTGCATGAAAGGTGAGCGGAGCGCTTATTTGATCAGGCAAAACAGCGGCAACCCTTTTATTATTACATCTACCCTAATGGTAATTGTGATAGTAACGGAAACTCCCACGGCCTCAGACGGCTTTCGGCTCCATATGCGAAGCCGGCCGTGTGTTGAAAATGCACATCTCAGTCCCGCCTTTGCAGACTGTCTCGTATGAACACGAAAACTATTTCCATGCTTATGGACTTAAAATCGCTTGGTGGAGCCCAGTTGCACATCTCTGAAAACTGCTTAATCGTGGCAGGCTGTTCCCTTTCCAGCGGACTCCTCTAGGCTGGGGGGCTGGGGGACAGCAGGGTGCAGCGCCGTGTGAGAAGCCGTGAGAACAGGCCCACCCGGGACGGCGACGCCGGTTGCATTCGCGAGTCCAGGGTCGCTTCTCACCAGTCCCATCACTCCGGCCCCCCAGGTCGCACCATGTACGTCATCCCCTACAGCATGGGCCCCCTGGGCTCGCCACTGTCCAAAATCGGCATCCAGCTGACGGATTCGCCCTACGTGGTGGCCAGCATGCGCATCATGACGCGCATGGGCACGTCCATCCTGCAGGCGCTGGGCGACGGGGAGTTCGTCAAGTGCCTCCATTCTGTGGGGTGCCCTTTGCCTTTAAAAAGTAAGTGTGTTGTTTCAAAATCAAAAGTCAAGATAAAAAAGCGAAGCTTAACGGCAAACCCCAAACGGGGACGCGGCGCACTAACACGGGACGGGTCCTTGTTTACAGAGCCTCTGGTCAACAACTGGGCCTGTAACCCGGAGCTGACACTCGTCGCACACCTGCCGGACCACAGAGAGATCATCTCCTTTGGAAGCGGATACGGCGGCAACTCGCTGCTCGGGAAGAAGTGCTTTGCCCTCAGGATGGCCGGCCGGCTGGCCAAGGAGGAGGGGTGGCTGGCGGAGCACATGCTGGTGAGCCCGCGGGGACCCAGAGGTGCTGCGAGAGGCCCGGGGGCGGCAGACACGAACAGCATTGCGGTTCCCACGGGCAGGACCCAGCCCTGCCCCTGCACGAGCAGGCTCCCGGGCGGACGGGGAAATTCCGTCAATAGCTCTCAGTGCACGGTGCGTGTCCCCCTGCAGGACCTCGGACACAGTGAGGCCGGCAGAGACCTCCGGACTCCATTATTTTGGAAGTTAGTTTGTACTGATACCTGAAGAAGTAGATCTTGAGGGCCTGGCTTTTGGGGGCTTCTGGGCTAACGTGCTCTAGGAGAGAAAGGAGCAAAGGTGGTAATGACGCCTGTCGCCTCCAACAGATCCTGGGCATAACCAACCCCGAGGGGGAGAAGAAGTACCTGGCGGCAGCGTTTCCCAGCGCCTGCGGGAAGACCAACCTGGCCATGATGACGCCCACCCTGCCCGGGTGGAAGGTCGAGTGTGTGGGGGACGACATCGCCTGGATGAAGTTTGACAACCAAGGTGACTCTTTGAGGCCCAGCCGGTGGTATCAATGGGACTCGAGTGATTGTTGACCTCGAAACCTGCTAAATCCTCCTAGATCCACAGTGTTTGGGTTTTTAAGTCAGTTAGTTCAGAGTTTACAAAGCTTTAGAAATACGTATTCTGTAAGCATTCCTTATTATTCAATCTGGATTGAAGTGCGACCATATGTTGCTGTTTGTTTACATACATAAATTTATTAAAATGGTTTTGGTGGAAAAATGAAGAAGAAGAAAGAGTTGTAAAAAGTTTCAAAGTTGAATACGATACTTGGATCGTCAGGAGAAAAAAAAAGATTTGAGAATTAGGCACACAGATTAGTCTGGCAAGATATCAGAATGTATGTTACGCTTTGCTTGGCATTCAGTGCTACTTCTCCGGTTTGAAACTTTCCAGGTAACTTAAGGGCTATCAACCCAGAAAACGGCTTTTTTGGTGTTGCTCCTGGAACCTCTGTGAAGACAAACCCCAATGCCATCAAGACCATCCAGAAGAACACCATCTTCACCAACGTGGCCGCGACCAGTGACGGGGGCTTTTACTGGGAGGGCATCGACCAACCTCTGGCGCCAGGCGTCACGATCACTTCCTGGAAGAACAAGGAGTGGAGCCCAGAGGACGGTAAGTCCCCTCCAGAGGCCTTGGCACTCCGGGCTGCAGGCACCACCTGTTTGGGCCAGACGCGAAGGGGCTGCCCACTCTCTTGTTGTAGGAGAACCTTGTGCCCACCCCAACTCGCGCTTCTGCACCCCGGCCAGCCAGTGCCCCATCATCGACCCCGCCTGGGAGTCTCCGGAGGGTGTGCCTATCGAGGGCATCATCTTCGGAGGCCGCAGACCTGCTGGTGAGGTTCCCCTTTGTTCGGGCTGGGAAAATGGGAATGCTGGCTACCAAAGGACCTACGGTGGCATCTCTCCTTTGCCGTGACCTTGTCAGAGGGTGCCAAAGACCTTGAGCTTTCTCTCCAAAATTCCAGAATAATTGCAAAGCTCAAATGTTGAACCAAACCTGCAGGTCACCTGGGACCTTTCTGGATCCTTGGTCCAGTGTAGCTTGATCCCATTTGACTTTTTACTTTGTGGCCTCCATGGTGCAACTTTGAGCAGTTTTCTGCACTTTAGCTTGGTAAATGCAAAATTAGCTTGGTTACAAAGCTGCTTTTTGCTATGTCTTTCCATGTTGTGACATGACACCATTGGCCGTGGAGGATGAGTGTCAAAGCTTTTAAGGAACTTTTCTTTTGTCCTGCTAAAGGTGTCCCTCTAGTCTACGAAGCTCTCAGCTGGCAGCACGGGGTGTTTGTGGGGGCCGCCATGAGATCGGAGGCCACAGCCGCTGCGGAACACAAAGGTGAACCAATGTCTAGATTTGAAACCTCGGGGAAGGGGGATTAGAGCTTTCCCCACCACTGTTCCTCTCCCTCTCTGTGTCTGTATGTGAGAGAGAGCAAGAGAGAGAAAACCCAGCATGCTTATGTCAACAGCGATAGGGGCCAGTATTGCCTGGGAGAGCGTCACTGGCCAACAGCACCCCCCGCTCTGTTTAACAGGCAAAATCATCATGCATGACCCCTTCGCCATGCGGCCCTTCTTTGGCTACAACTTCGGCAAATACCTGGCCCACTGGCTGAGCATGGCGCAGCGCCCAGCGGCCAAGCTGCCAAGGATCTTCCATGTCAACTGGTTCCGGAAGGACAAGGAAGGCAGATTCCTCTGGCCCGGCTATGGAGAGAACTCCAGGGTGCTGGAGTGGATGTTCAACCGCATCAACGGGAAAGACAACGCCAAGCTCACGCCCATAGGCTACGTCCCTGCGGAGGGCGCCCTGAACCTGAAAGGCCTGGGAGACATCAACACGAAGGAGCTCTTCACCATCTCCAAGGAGTTCTGGGAGAAGGAGGTGGAAGACGTCGAGAGTTACCTGGAGGACCAGGTCAATGCCGACCTCCCCTATGAGATCGAGAGAGAGGTCCTCGCCCTGAAGCAACGGATAAGCCAGATGTAATCAGAACCAGTGAGCTCAACCTTCAAAATTGTCTCCTTTCCAATCCGTAAAAAAGGTCGGGTTTTCCTGAATCAACACTACCAGCGGCATGATCGTCACCACCCCAATGAGCAGATTCGAAAGGCACACTTTAATGTTTTCAGATAAAAACCACAGAGTACAGGCTAGTAGCTGATGAGATCGGGAAGGGAAATCTTAGCACGTCTCCAAAATTCATATCCGATGCATATTTTGTTCAACTTTAACGTCACTCAGGCATTTTGTCTTTTCAGTTTTTTTTCACTTTAGCTATGTCAGTTAGCTAGAATGCACAGAAAACATACTTGAGCTGTATATATGTGTGTGTGTGTGTGTGTGGTCTATTTGTACAGGTGTATCTGCGTGTACTGTTACCTGAAATATATTTAATACCTTTGGAAAAATCTTGGGCAAGATTACCTACTGGTTGTTGGTAGAAAGAAATGTTGCTTTGTTATTAATATGTGTGTTTAAATTATTTTTATATACCGTTTTTCCTTACCTTTACATAATTGCAATTTTTCCACCTTACTACTTCTTGGGAAAAAATTACAAAATAAACTTTTATAGAAAAGATGGATTTGCTTTGCTTGGTTTTTCTTACTTGAACCATCAAGAAAAAAGAACTCTGATTAAACACCTTGTATCCAAATCTCCCCTCCACCAAGAAGGTGGGACGTCCAGAATCACCCTTGAAGAGGGGCTGAGCTGCGGGGGGCCAGGGAGCACGAGGGAGCCGGGTGCAGAGGGATGAGCCCAAGATGGGGACACAGAGGTGACAACAGCACCACGCTTTGAGTTTTCTGAATTTAGCTGAAGCCACTAGTGGGCGCCCTTTGACAATTCTATCACACAAACCTTTAAATAGTGGGGCTTGTGCAGCTGCGCTGGGGGAGTTTAACATGTGCTTCTGGACAAAAATTCGGGCCCGGGGGCTCCGTCTCCCACAAGAATTGCACTGGGGACAGTTGCATAGGCTTTTGCCTTTTAACTCGTTTGAGCAACACTTTTCTCAACTGTCAGCCACAGGGAAGGACAGGGAGGATAAAAGGGGTCTTCAGAAGGGAAAGTCAAAGGGATCTCCGTCCTGCAGGCATTAACTGAGTGCCTTCTGTATACTCAGCAACACGCCAACGCAATCGGCTGCCCCGAGATGGAAGGCGGGTGGTTTGCCCCAGCTCTGCTCCACTCCCAGCATTTATGGGTGTTCCAGAACAGTCCAAACAAGCCATAAACTTCACCTTGCACGTTCGTTCTGAAGGTAAACACCACTTCCTTCAAGTTGCTTTTTCCTTTCCGGGCCTCGGCTGTGAGATTGGCTTCTCCCTCCGCCACACGCCAGCGAGCGGCTGGTTCTCACGTTAATCTCGACACCTCAGGCGTCCTCCCCTTCCCAGCGGGAGAAATTGCCGAGGCCCTTCTCCTCCCTTGCTCCTTCCCCAGCAGGCACCTTCCAGGGCGCAGGGCACTGGCGTTAGGACCTGGGGGATGGGCCGTGGCAGGCGCCCCTGACCCGAAAGCCTGGCAGAGGGCACCGAGCCGGAGCAGTAGCTTCTGCTTTGTCGTCGCCACAAGCGGGGGCAGTAAAGCGAGCTCATCCGGGGGAGAGGGCTGCCGCTGCTATCTCCCTGCTGCCTCCCCCCTTGCCCAGGGAGTGAACACTGGCAACCTTCTATGCACCCCAGCCCTGCCCCCAGCCAGCAGGGTCTCCTTTCATCCCGTCAGGGGTAATGACACCCCTGCTGACGTCTGGTGGCAGCCTCTCGAGTCCAGAGGGTCTGGATGTGAGTCTCGGCCACCTCTCCTTCTCGGGGTGCCCTTAGGCCATGGCACAAGACTCTGAGCCTCCATCTGCTCGACTGCCATGTGGGCAAGATGACCACACCTTCTCCAGGGGGTGTCGAGAAGACCCAGTGAGATGACACAAGCAAGGGACTCGGCACGTGCGGGCCTCGGGAGGGCAGCGGCTCCCGATTCTATTTCACTGGGGTTGTTCAGCGTTCGAGGCGGGTGCTCGCTCCCCCCGACTGCGGCTGTCGCACTGGTGTCCGGCTGTGGCTCAGGAGTGGAATCTGCCTTCTGAGCAGCCTCCGCCAGGTCCTCCTTCCACCGTGGAGCTCAGGAGAAGGGGCTGAAGAGCGAGTCCAACCAGGAGCGGCAGGAGCGTTTTCTCCCCTTGCGCAGCGAGCCCCTGCCCGAGGCAGCCTCCGTCCCCTTCTCAGGCAGGCCGGCAGCAGGCCCTGCGTCTGGGTCCAGGAATTCTACCTTGAGGAAGTATGTCCTAAGGGAAAAACCGTGAATGCGTGCACAGATTTAGCTGCAAGGATGCTCGTTACAAAGCTGTTATTTGTCATGGCCAAAAATTAGGAACCAACCTAAATGCCCCAAAATAGGGGATTCCTTGAGGAAATTGTAGCCTCTCCCAGAATAGACAACTAGACAACTGACAGGACTCTGCAGAAGGTAGTGTATTGACGTGTGTATTTGCTACCTGTTGTCGGGCGTGAAGTGTGTTATTTGGACATGTATGCCTAGAAAACAACTGCAAAACTATACCATGAAATAGTGAGTAGTGATCCCTGGGAGTGCAGCCCCTTTAAGACAACTCTCCTTTTGACTCAGAGCTCTTCTGCAGAGTGGACCTCACGTGAGGACAAGGGCACTCAGCCACCAAGGCCGAGGCGGAGAGGCCGGTCCTTCTTACTGTTGCTCAAGCCTGACGTTCGGCTCGGTGGGGCTGGAGGTTTGGAAGCTGCAATACCCCCACGCCAGCTGCAGAGGAGCTGCTGCTCCGTCCCCCTGACTACCTGGCACCCTCGTCCAGCCCAGACCCTCCCCAGGGACCCCCAGACCTCCCCACATGGCTGAGGGCCTCCCAAGCTTGGCTCTGGAATCATCTCTGGGTGGTCATTGCCTCCAGGGGTGGATAGATACTTTCAACATCACTCCCGCCCACCTTCACCCCAACGCATCAAGGCTACGCAAGCTCTCCTCAAAGTTGGCTGCAAACCGGGGAGCCAGCAGAGGCAGGGGGTGCCCCACATTGAGAAAGCCCTGAGTCAACTGACTTCACCCCGGTAGATTAAGATGAAGTTTCTGGCATGGGGTGGAATGCGGGCTTGAGGCAGAGAGGGAGGAAAGTAAACCTGGCTTTTTTGCTTTCCTGAAGTTTTGCCTGGAGTTTTCCTCGCACAAGAAGCTCAGCACAGTGGGGGCCCTTGGGAGAGGCTCACAACACAGGCTGTGGCGAAGGCCCCCTCCCACGACCGCCCGCAGACCACAGGGAGAGCAGCCACGCCAGTCGATGCGGGTCTGATTGCTACGGAACTGTTTCCACGCACCATGTTCTCTCCGCCACCTGGGCCCTTGCCCAGCCCCAGGACAAAGCTCAGAGGTGGCTCTGATGCGCAGAGCTGGGTTTTGGGGCTGCCGCTGAGGAGCAGCGGACATCCTTTTGTCCACAGCAACATGGTGGTGGGCCAAGGGCACATTTGCCTTGTTGACGCCTGCCGCGTCTCCACGTTGACGCTTCTTCCTGGGGGCGCTCGGCCCGCGCAGCCTGGGCCACCGCACGGCCGTTTCGGCCGTGAGCTCCTTATGTAATGTGTACCAGCCTGAATGGCAGAACTCCTCTCCAGGCAAGGCAATTTGCAGCAAAATATGCTGTAAATATTTGTTCTGCCCGGGAAAATGACTTTAATTGCATAATTAAACTCGTTGTAGAAGCTGCTTCCGGACAAAATGACTGGGGAGAGGCTGAGCTGGCAGCTGTCCCTCGGAGTTTGTTGAATAGAGGGACGGACTGTTTGTTTGCAAGGACTTTGCTCTGGCCCCCATCTTTCCGTGGTGAAGTGGCAGTTTCGAGAACAATCAGGAAGGATGAAGAAAGGAGCTTGAGGGGAGGTTGGCTGTCGGAGAGAGCAGGGGGCAGAGCGGCCCCCAGCGAGGGGACTTGCAGACCCTCGGGCAGGATTTGAGGCTATTTTCCCGATGTCCTGTGCACATGCCGCCTCCACGCACAACTGGTAATTTGAGCAAATGATCGGTTCACTTAGGTGGAAAAATATGAGTAGATTGAAAGAAATTTGCTTTGGAAAAAAAACAACAACAGTGCATTGCAGCTGTAAATCCAAAGCCAACGTTCATTGCTACGGTAACCCTGTCAACACAAGGCTGAGGGAAGGGAGCTGGCCATGAAAGGCACATGTATGATTCCATTTACATGAAATGTCCAGAATGGGCACATCTATAGGGACAGAAAGTAGACCAGGGATTGCCAGGGGTCGGGGAGAGTCTGCTAAGGGCTACAGAGTTTTTTTTTTGGGGGGGGGTTGAAAATGTTCTGAAGTTTGATTGTAGTCATTTCCACAATCCTGTGAATATATTAAAAACTATTGAATTGTGCATTTTTAAATGAGATAATTTTATGATATTTGAATTGTAGCTCTCTAAAGTTGTTAAAAAAAAGAATAAATACGACAAAAGCAAAAGTGTGGCTTAGGTTGCATTCGAAACCAATTGCCTGCCACAGGCTCTGAGTTGGAGGCCTGTGTTCGCCTCTTACAGAGGACGATGAGGAAGGAGGAGGAATGTGCACCCCACTGACATTCTCCCCTGGGGCGAATTAGGAGGATTCAAAGAAAATGGCAAAGGGATGGACTTTCTCATCACGGATTCAGCGTCGTTTAAATGCCAGGCCACCGAACCTCCTAAAATCATCACGAGCACCATAAATGTCATCTCACCAACAACCAGATGAGAAACTGAGGCCACAGAGGGTAAAGCCCTGCAAAAGTCACTTGGCCAGCGGGTGGGAGAGCTGGAACCACCAACAGCCTCAGCTTCTGGGCTGGCTGCATTGGCAATGAGTCTGCAGCCACGACCCCAAATCAGTCCTCATTCTGCAGAGGGAAGGACTCCAGGGGCAGGAGACCAAGAGCCCGACTCCACCCCTGCCAGCCCATCAGGAAACCCCACAAACCAGCTCAGCAACTGAAGGGAGGGTTTGGCTGTCATTGTCACCAGGTAGGAGAAGGTCTAGACACAGGGCAGGGCACTGGACCCAGGGGCTCCACCATGGTTAGAGGGTCCTGTTTCCTTCTCCCCCGTCCCCAGTAGCAGAAGCCTATGGAACGGAAGTGCTCACCACAGACACTAAACTCCTGGTGTGGCCTGGGGACTCTTCCTGCTTCTCTGAGCCTCAGTTTCCCCAGCTGTACAATGAGTGCTCTGCCTTGATCCCGAAAGCCTTTCCTGCCATGAGGTTGGAATCATGTGGCTCTTTGGTGGGACCTTCGGAATAGGGATTCAGTGAGGCCGGGTCCGGGCATGGGGGGAGTGACCGGACAGAGAGGGCAGCTGATTTCATGAAGACATGGCGTGACCAATACCTTCCGCCCCGAATCGCTCACCACAGCTCATCAGCATCCCCGAAATCCCACCTCTGGGGGACCCCCCCAACCCAGCCGCGTACCTGTTTGCCCCACTCGATGACACCATCTGTCCCTCATGTCCTGCTAAATTCTTCCAATCCCAGAACCCTCAAACTCATAGGCACACCCCCAGGTCCCCTTGACCC